GGGATTCCTCTGCTTTTCTCTTGGTTTTCTAAGGAGCGGACCTAATTGGTCATATAGTCCCTGCCTCTCACTTGAGCTCAGTTCAGGGCTTAGCATATGGGTGGGGTTGTGGTGGCCTGAATGTTATTAGTACAGACAAAGCAAAGAAGGAACAGAAACAAACTCTCTTCCTCCTTCTCTCTTTTCTTTCACGATTTAACCCTGTAGCCATTTCCCTAAGGCTAGGTTCCCCTCCTACTTCATCCTACACGGCCTTCCCTGTTCCTCTGCAGAAAATTCCAGGAGAATTAATTTTCCTCTGAAATACAGAGGAACCTAACTGGTGAGAATGCAGAATGGTACAGCTACTTTTAGAAGCCATATTGGCAATTTCTTATAAAAATAAACAGACTCTGGGGCTCCTGGGTGGCTCAGTGGGTTAAAGCCTCTGCCTTTGGCTCAGGTCATGATCCCGGGGTCCTGGGATCGAGCCCCACGTCGGGGCTCTGCTCAGCGGGGAGCCTGCTTCCTCCTCTCTCTCTCTGCCTGCCTCTCTGCCTACTTGTGATCAATCTGTCAAATAAATAAATAAATAAAAATCTAAAAAAATAAAAAAATAAAAAATAAAAAATAAAAAATAAATAAACAGACTCTTACCATATGATATGATCAAGGACTCGGGCTCTTTGGTATTTACCCAAAGGAACTGGAAACTTACCCACACAAAAACCAGACATGGATATTTATAGCAGTTTTATCTATTACTGCCAAAACTTGGAAGCATCCAAGATGGCCTTCAGTAGGTGAATGCATAAACAAACTATAATACACACAGACAATGGAATATTACTCAGCACTAAAAACAAATGAACTATCAAGCCATGAAAAGACAGGGCAGAAACTCGGAAGCATATTGCTACATGAAAGAAGCCAATCTGAAAAGCCTATACACCAACTCTTATGTACTAGCAACCTTCATTCCTCATAGGCCCCGTTTAATTGCTTCATACATTCTATTTAACACTATTGGATGCAGAAGATTTAGAGCAGTGTGATTCCAACTGTATGACATTCGGGAAAAGGCAAAACTATGGGGACAATGAGAAGATCAGTGATTGCCAAGGGTTTGGGGAGGAAGGGATGAACAGGCAGAGCACAGAGGATTTTGAGGGCAGTGAAACTATTCTATATGGTATTATTATCATGGATACATATCATTATACATTTGTCCAAATGCGTAGAATGTACATCACCAAGAGTGAACCTTAAAGTAAACTATGGACTTTGGGTGGTAAAGACATATCAATGCAGGTTCATTGATTGTAACAAATGTCCCACTCTGACGAAGGATGCAGATATGCAGGAGATTATGCCTATGTGGGGGCAGAGGTTATATGGGAACTCTCTATACTTTCCAGTCAATTTTACTTTGAACCTAAAACTGCTCTAAAAATATATTTAAAAACGTAGAAACAGATATATAGAGGAACCTTACTTCATACCTTTGTATACATGAAAACCTATTGTTAACCCAAGCCTGCCCAGGCTAGAGAGAATGGAAAGGAAGATTAAGGGAAAAGTTTTGCAAAGTCTTGCGCTTGCTTCTGGCACAGATGAATAGGGCAAAAAGCCACAGGCTGTGTTCTATTACTCAATGGACCACACACAAAAAAGACACTGGTCTGATCAGAAGCACTAGATGTTACCAGTGGCAGAGCAAGCAGCCTGGCTAGTTCCTCATGCTAGGGAAGAAGAAAGGGAAGAGAAGATGTGCTCCATGGTGGGAGGCCTAGCCCTCTGTACCACTCCTTACTTTTTCTGCACCCTTCTACTGGATTCCTAGGTCTGGGATTCCCAGAAAACACAAGAAACCAAGGGTCACCTGCTTTAGAATCACGAGAAACTTTATAAATATTCATATTCTCAGACCAAGTTCCCAGAAAACCAAATTCGGTCATTCAGGGATAAGGTCCAGGGCTTTGCATTTTCAAAGAGTTCCCAAGGCATTCCTATGTGCATCTAGGTTTCAGAGCCACAAAACCTTGCTGCTGAGAGGACTCCTGCTGCCAGAAAGAAAAGGGGTAATTGCATATGAGGCCTTTCTTCTGGATACCAATTATACCACCTGTTGGCTTTACCATATTGGTATTACCATCTGTCTCTTGCTTATATTCTCCCCAGGATCATCCCATCCCAGGAATTCGGGAAAGGTTCAGATTCCAGCCTTTCCATTATGCTCCAATGGAAAAGAGTTCAATTTAGACCTGCCTCTCTTTCTATTCATTCATTTGACAAATACTTACAGCATGCCTCTTAATGTGCCAGCTACTTCTTTGAGAGGCTGGAAATACAACGATGAATAAGCAGATAAGGTCCTTTCTCTCCCAATGCTTCTCTTCTACTAGAGGGAGAACTAAGAAGTAAACAAGAAACAAAGATTATTTGGGGCAGAAGTGAGGACTGGAAAACAAGACAGGGTTATATGACAGCGAGTGTTATGAAGAGGTAGGGTACATGAGAGGTAGGAGGGTAACATTTCTAAGGAGCTAACAGTGGGGTGAAGACTGAATGGTGAGAAGAAAATATCTAATGGTAAACACTGCAAAGGCCACCAGCAGGAATTAGGTTAGTGTTTCTGAGATTTTTAGGTCAAGGTGTAGAGAGTACCGAATAGGAGAGGAGAGGTGAGGCTGGAGAAGCATTTTATCTCAAGTGCAATGGTAAGCCACTGTCAAATTTTAAGCAGAGGAGTAACATGATCTGGCTTATATTTTAAAACAAAATTCTCTGACCATTGTGATAAAAATGGATTGAACAGGGGCACCTGGGTGGCTCAGTGGGTTAAGCCTCTGCCTTCAGCTCAGGGTCCTGGGATCGAGCCCTGCATCTCTCTGCTCAGCAGGGAGCCTGCTTCCCCTCTCTCACTCTGCCTGCCTCTCTGCCTACTTGTGATCTGTGTCTGTCAAATAAATAAATAAATAAATAAAACATTAAAAAAAGATGGATTGAATAGGTTGGCGTTGGGCTGAATGGGGGAAGGGTTCAAGAGGAGAAGCAGGGAAAGCAGTTAGGTTACTGTGGTAGTAGAGACCAGAGCATATGGTGACCTGGACTGGGGTAGAGGTGATATGAGTGGGAAAATTCAAGATCTACTTTGGAGTTAGAGATGATAGGACTTGTCAATGGTTTGGATAGGAGTTGTGAGGAAAAGAGAAGCAAGGATGACTCTTTGGAACTTAGTTTTGAACCATTGAGTGAATGATGCAGTAGATTTAAAGATGCTGTTTGGGAATGTTTGGAACACCTATTAAACAGTCAAGTGACAAAGTGAAGTAGCATTACATATACGAGTTTGAGGTTCAGCAGTGAGGTTGGGGTAGAGATAAACAGAGTCAGGAGCATAAGAATAGTATTTCACACCATTGTGGTAGGATGAATAATGACCTCCCAGATATGTCCATGTCCTAATCCCTGGAGCCCTAAAGGACCTTTTGTGAGTGAAGGCACTTAAAATATGTCTTTTGTGGGTCTGACACAACACTCAAGGTAGGTATTATTATTTTCCACTTAATAGATGGGGAACCTGAGGCTCAGAGAAGTGGAATGCCTTGTTCTAGGTCCCAGAACTGGAAAATACCTATTTTACTTTCAAGTGCTTTACAGAATTTCTGCAGAGACAGGAGGTGGTAAAGAGTTGCACTGTGTGCTTCAAGACAGATCCTTAGCACCACACTGCCTTGGCTGCCAAAAACCTGCCCTAGAAATGCATTTCTGTGAGGCCTGTCATGTCTTTGCCCAGCTCTGGTATATTATTTTTCTGACCTCCAAAGCCCTTGCCAGCCCAATCACACCGCATGGCCACTCTTCAGCTAGTTTGTTAGCTCTGGGAGGGCTTAGTTGGGTCATCACATAACGAACGACCCCGCTTGCCAGGCCCTGTGCCAGGCACCTAACATTTATTCAATAATCACAGTAACTCTCTCCATTGTCTCTGGAGCAAGCCAGAAAGGCTGCATTACTGGGGAATGGAAAGAAGACAGGACCAGGAACAAGGGGAGCCTGTGTTCAAGTTGTGCGGTGGTGGGTGGGGGTGGCGCATAGCCCTAACTGGGAGCTAAAGTACCCTTGGGCTAGTACCTGAGTCATTTAAGAAAACCAGAAAGATTACACTACAGATGATTTGGAAACTCCCTCGAAGACACTCGAATGAGAGATTCTCTTCTTTCTCCATCTCTAGTGCTCCACTATTATAGGCAGCAGTCTGAACCAGGGTGCAGTGACAGCCTACCTGTTCAACCCCGGGCTGCCCCTCAATTCCCTCCTTAGAGGTGAGTCGGTGCCACGACGTGGCCAACTTCCAGGGAAGCTGCCGGGCTCCGAAGCGGGCGATAGGTCATTCCAGGATAAGGGAGAGGAGGCTCCGAAAAACTACAACTCCCAGGAACCCCTGGGAGCCTGGGCCTGGTGCATGCTGGGAGCAGCACACTGCCTCCCGCCGCAGCAGGCTCATTGTTAAGGCAGCTCAGTACAGGTAACCCGTGCGCATGCCCAGTCACGTCCCAACTAGTTCAGCTTCTTTCCTTCCTGCAGGATTCTTCTCTTTCCGGCCTCGCCCAGGCGCCCTTTTCCACGCCCCACCCCGCCCCTTTTTAGGGATTTTGGAAGGGGCGAGCCTCTGGCAAGCGCGTTCCCAGGGGTGTTTACACGCGCGTTCATGGGAGATTAAAAACACTGGATGTGGAAGGTGTTGAGTCTAGGAACCCGCAGATAATGGAAGGCGCATGCGTTCCAGGGACGGTCCTGCTTGGCGTTGGGAATCACAAAGGGGCGGAGCGGAAACGCGGCAGTGAGCTGACGCACGCGCATTGGGCCTCCAGCGCCCCGCCTCCTTCTTCAGGTTTTCTCTCCATCTCCACCACTCTTCCGGAAGTGCAGCCGCCCTCGCGCCCACCAGCGGCCACCCCCTGGGGAAGGCCCCGCCCCCATCGGCTCCGCCCCCCAGCTCTCCGCCCCCTCCTCCGGTGCTGGCGCGGGCTTGCAGCCCAGGTCCTGGCGGTTTTGGTGCCCCAAGCCGGGAGCGCGGAGTCGTTCCCGGAGTGGCGGCCAGGCTATGATCGCGGGTCCCCGGCGTCCCGCTCCGGTCACTCAGAGTCCCTGTCTCCGCTTGTGCCCGTACCCGAGCGGTCTCCTCAGCCCGGCCCCGCGGCGCGGTTGTCGGCGGCGCCCCCGGCGCGCCCCCTCTTCCCGATGGCGGCGGAGATCCAGCCCAAGCCGCTGACCCGCAAGCCCATCCTGCTGCAGCGGGTCGAGGGGTCCCAGGAGGTGGTGAATATGGCAGTGATCGTGCCCAAGGAGGAGGGCGTCATCAGCGTCTCGGAGGACAGGTACGGACCGCCGCCCCTCGGCCGCGAGGAGGGGCGGGACGGGCCCGCGGTCCCGGAACCCGGGTTCCGGGCTGTGCCTCCACGTCGGCGCGAGTGTAGACGTACTCCCCCAAGTTTTTATTATAATGCGCATCCTGGTGGTGCTGGTGTCCAGCTGCGCTCTGCCGCCACTGCGTGGCTCTGGGAAGCGAGACCAGACGGCGGCGTGCGCTCTGGCCTTGCCCGGGGCGGGTGGCGCTGGCTGTGCCAGGGTGGCCCTTAGACTAACGGTGCGCGGGCCACTGGACCTTGGTCCAGCCCTAAGGACCGGAGGGGAAGAGGGTGGGGCCGCCTAGTCCTGCAGGTGTGTGCGTGGGAAGGATGCTCCGAGAGCTAGATAACTAAGGGTTTTTGAGTGCTCTGGTACAGTTCTTAGGGCTCCAGACAGAAAGTAAATGCCACTCCCTTCTCCCAGTCAGTCCCACGGAATCCAGATCTCCTGTACATCTTACACTGAATTCAACGAATATTGCAAGTTGTGAAAAGAGTGTAACTTTGGGCTCCTGCCTGAAAGGAGAGGTGCCTACTCTTCTTTGCACTCCTTTTCTTATTTCTTCGAGCTGGAGGGGAAGCGCCCAGAACTTGCAAGGGACCACTGCTGCAAATAGCTCTCGAGTTCCTTCCCTTTGCTTGCTTCCTTTCTTTTTGCTTAATTTTGCTTAATTTGCAGAAGTGGAGCCCGTTGTTCTGGCTTTAATAATTTCTCTTGTTTTTCAGACAATAGCGTTTGCGCTTTAAGTAAATTCATTTAATATGCAGAAATTAAGCCGATGAAGCAGATTTCCATAGGAATGATGCCTGAATATAGTAATTATGGTATTTATCTGGACTTGTTTCAATAATACCATCTAGGGTTCTAAAAATTGTAGCTCTTTGGAGGTATATGAGAAGGGGCTTTCTACCTTAAAACAGTAGTTAGGTTTTCTTAATGTAAATTCAAATTATGCTGAGGTAGAGAATTTTTTTTTCTGTGACCAGGAGAGTTGCAGACAGGGGTAAAGTAGTAACGTGTTCATTACTGTCTTTATAGTCATTTCCGCACTTTGCATACAGTGTGGCCTAACAAAAATTTGCTTGATAGGTTTCTTTATATGATACGTTCTTCAATAGAACTAGGACGCGTATATTAATCACCCATGCTTGTCTACATCATCCTCCATACAAATGGCCAAAATGTGCTCGAGTCATTTCCTAGATCCAGGGGGAAATTGTAAACATAGGTCAGTGGCAAGCACTCTATAGCAAACAGAAGAAATATGTTGCCGAAATGGAGTACATGGATTGAAAACCTTTTGAAATTCAAAGTAGTTTATGAGTGTTTAATTTTTTTTTTGAAGATTTTATTTATTTATTTGACAGGCAGAGATCACAAGTAGGCGAAGAGGCAGGCAGAGAGAGAGAGGCTGAGCAGAGAGCCTGATATGGGACTCCATCCCAGGACCTTCAGATCATGACCTTAGTGGAAGGGAGAGGCTTAACCCACTGAGCCACCCAGGTGCCCCTATGGCATTGTTTCTAAAGGGATATACTAACTTTACTTTCTCAGTCTATAACTGCTGTAGATGAAACTGCTCAACCTAACTGCTGTAGGAAATGGATAAAATAAGTTTTATAAGTCAAGTAAAAGAAGGAGAACGTTAGTTAAACTTAAGCTCCTTTAATATTAGTTTTGAAACTTTTTGTTTTGGTTCATGGTTTAGTAGTAGAGGTTAGTTTTCAGAGTTTTTTGTTTTGTTTTGTTTTGTTTTTTAAAAGTTCAGAGTGATTTTAGAGGTTATTTGCTCTAACTGCTTCGTTTCACGGATGAGAAAATTAAGGCAAGAGAATTTACCTGCCCAAATTCATGTAGCAGGTGGTGAAGTCAGGCCTAGCTCCTGAGTCTCCTGATTTCCATTTTAGTGTGTTTATCTTGAAGGAAACAGCTTTAGTAGGATGCATTTCAAGGTGTTTGGAGAAGCTGAAGTAGCATATATGAAAGAAACTGGAAGATAAGTCTCATTTGATTACAGGACAAAAGAAATGTGACGTTTACCTATATGGTAGCTTAATTCTCACTTTTCTAGTTTAAAATGTAAGTAATAGAAATTATTTTATTATAGAGTTACTGTTAAATAAATAAGGTCCTCCCATAAGTCCAGAATTATTCTTTACATATGTTTTACTAATATTCAGATTGGCAAATCTGTTTCCATACTCACAAGTGACAACAACTTTGTTATTTAGAGCTCTGTTTTGATTATGGTTTTCATTAAAAGAGAATTGATCTCTTTCAAAATCCATCATTATGCCATTTGACATAATGCTAAAGATATGAAGATAGAATATTGATTTTCATCAAAACCTACAAAGCCATTTTCATTAACTGCTTCAACTAGAAACTAACAGTTTTCATTCCTGAACTCCAAGGTTAAATCACAAATAACGTCCTATCCTGTATGGCAGTGTCCCAGAAGTTCTTTGGAAACCTGGTTTCCCTTTTTGATTTCTGAATCCAGATAGCTTTATCTAGCCTTAGAAAACACTTAACATTTTCTATTTTAAACAGTATTATTTATACTTAGGGTCCATTCATCTTCTCCATAATTTCCCATGGTGCTATGTGTGTTTTATTCATTGTAATATCTTTAGGGCCTAGCAAAGTGCCTGATGCATGCTGGGCCCCCCAAGCATTTGCTGTGCATCAGTGACTGATATGTTTTTGTTATTGTTCCTGAAAGCATCTTAGCTATTGTAGGTATTTAGTTGATATTTATTGAATGACTTTTATGACAACCTATTAAAGCCCTGTGTGGACAGATGTGCACTTGTGGGAGAAGGACTGGATTGGGTGGTCTTCAGGGTGCCCTACAACTTTGAAAGTCCATGCATTGCTTCGTTCATTCCATCAACAAACATTTAAGTTTTTGTTGTGTTCTGAACTTGAGTAGACTACACTGGTGAAATGACAAGATCCTTTCAAGATACAGTTTAGTGCTGGGAAGTTTTAGAAGATAATAAAACAAAACCACAACCTCTAAGATTTAGTATTGAAAAGAGAATTTTTGGAGAGGGAAGAGTGGCCAGAATCTGCAACCCTTATTGTCCCCTACATTTTATCGTCTTTTGGGGGATTCTTTCACTTGGATTACCATTTTCATCCTACTGCTGCTGTCAGTAGTGGGTTGATAACATTCTAATCTTCAGGCCAAAGAGTCCATAAAAACCCTCATCCTCAGTTTACCTTAGCACAGTTAGGACAGCCTGGAACTTTACTAGAGACCAAGGAAGGAAATATAAGGGAACATAAGAAGTATGAAAAACAATCTGATTTCAAAGATTAGATTTCTGGTGATATCAGTTCCCAGTTCTGGGAACTGCCTGGCCATTTCTGTGTCTTTGATTTGCATATAGTTGGATTCTGGATTCTGTCTCTGGGAGACACACCCACCTTTGGTACTTTGGGTTCCTCATGTACAAGCTGCCTTGTGGACTGTCTTTTCTGAGTGGATGCCATCTTATTATCATTCTTTGCTTAGCTTGATTATAGTTGACACTGACATCTAGTCTGTAGCTTCCTGGGAGCTTCCTTGTCCTGTGATGGCTTCTTCTCCAGTGATGAAGGCCAGGAGAGACCTTTCTCTAAGTGGGACCCAGCCCCATCTAGACATCTACATTTATATATTCTTTATGTTCATATTTTAACAGAAATCAACAGTCTTGGCATTCATACAGAGAGTTTTAGTAACTCTGGGTTGTTACTAGTGGGCAGTTAAAGAAAATTCTTCCTTTGTCAGGAGTCTGTACCTTTACAGTAGGTAAAGGGGCGGGGGGGCGCAGTCCGTTTTTATCTCAGTATAAAGAGATGTGCTGAAGACAGGTACAAACGTCGTCGTCTGGGGTTACTGAAGAATCTCTGCTTGTGGTGGTTAGAGAAAAGGAGTGCTTCTACAGATGGATCTTGCAGGATGACTAGGAGTTCATGTGAAAAAGTGAGGGTAAAGGAAAGAGCATTGTAGGTAGAGGAGGAAAAGAAAACTCCCATTCACTGAGAAGCACTAAAATGGACTGGTTAAGAGTATAGATTCAGCAGCCAGTCAGCTTGAATTCAGAACTCAGTTCTGAGTGATTTGAGGACTCTGGAAAATTAGTGTCTCCAGAGAAGTGACTATGAGTGAAAGTTTCTAAAACCTCTGGGCACAAGAATTTGAAATTCTTTTCTGGATAAAAAGATCCAGGGCTGTGGTGGTGGGGTATTGGGGAGAAGACTCTGATCTTTGATGGGTGGTTGGAGAAGGCACTGTTGGGGATGAGTGTAATGGAGAAGGGAGTGTGGGGGGATGACCATCTTATATTCTAATTTTGTTCAGGACCAATTTATGCAACATAGTGTTCCCTGTGATCCCTAAGGGCAGACAGAACCCCTCCCCCCTCCCATGGTAAAAGAGTGAGATTTTTTATCTACCAATGAGGAGATCTGATCCCTAGTGCCTAGCACAAGGCGGTATATATTCATTGAATGAGTTATACAATGGCTGATCAATCATCAGTTTGGAATGAATTGGCTTGAGGAGGTGGTGAGTTTCCTGGAGCAAAGATAGAGCAAAGATATTTGAGTTGAGCCTGAGAAAAACTTAGTAGTTTGCTTTCAGCCAGATTAACAATAAAGCAGGGGATGAGGTTGGGAAGGGACTGGGACAAGAGAAGGGTTGGATTTTTTTTTTTTTAATCTCTAAGGTGTTTTTTGTTTTTTGCTTTGTTTGTTTTTGTTTTTTGTTTTTTCATTCTGAACTACTCGATTCTAAGTGGTTACCACTACTTGACTATTTCTTGAAAAGATACGTTAAAATTTCATTTTGTTTTATAAATCCTCATGCTCTTGGTTGATTTACCATTGGTTCTTATCATTGTGAAATTGCACTATCTCAGTTCTCTGGCTGAAACCATTGTTTCACTAATACTTAGACCTTGGCTCAGTTCAGCTG